GTCGACAGCTGTTGAGCACCATGACCACGAGCGTACGCTTCCACCAGATGCAATAAAACGTAAGTATCAAGACACGAACGTCTACTTCGAGGGGATTTATACTTCCTTATGTCCTGCGCATGCTCAGAACATCAGAAGTGGGGGACTTGTGTTGGGTTAAGGGCCCAAGCCGAGGTCCGGCCCACTAACCCTTCCTTCACCAGACGTGCGTCCAATCAGACCACAAGGCCAGCCCGCAGGCCCATATTCCTTGGGGAAGGATGAACGTCTGGGATTGGGAGTTCAGGCCCAGCGGGCTACCAGGGGATGACGACGAACGTCCCCATGGCAAGCCTATAGTTATCCGAGGAAATCCAGTCCACATGGAGAGAATCCATAAGGCCAGGAGACGAACAGCCGAAACCTCTTGAGGATCACTTGGAGCGATCCAGCTCGCTTCCCAGGCGGACGAACGTCCCCATTATTTAGGCGGGAAACCTAGATTCTGGCGGGAAGCGCATTTAATGCTGAAGATTTGGTGGTTGGGACGCAAGCGGTCCACAGGCCTCCACATCAGCATAGCCACATGTCCATTGGCGGGTATAAATAGAAGCATTTATTTCATTATAAAGGGTTGGCAACTTTCTATTCTTAGCACTCTAGCTATAACATCCTTACTCGCAGCACTTCTATTGCCTTGTAAGACGAACGGCCGACGGAGCCTTAGCGGAAAGTATTGTATTAGGGAGTTATTAAGAGATAATAATACCTAATCACTTACTTGCTACCTTTACTGTTTCTTGATCCCTATTATCTGCTTGTTGGGCTAGTTTATTCACACACACTCCATTCGAAATCCTTGGGCTTATGTGTTGGACCCGGGGGTTTGGGAATCTGAAATATACTCATGAAGTAATCCCAAGTTTCTTGTGCTACTTTGCAGTTAAGTAAAACATGGTCCATAGAGTCGCTGATGTGAATTTTCTCGCACTTAAAATAGATTGTAATATAGTGGTGTAAGTACGAGTATCTTCTCCACAGGGACGGACAAAAGGAAATCAAAGATTAACTAAATTCAACGATTAAAAAGAAATAAATAAAAATGCGTCGTGCGAGATTGGTTGCTGGAAAATAAAAATGCGAATAAAACGATTAAACTAGGGGTTCTTTCTAATTAATGACGAAGGGAACAGGGATTGATTTCGGGGTAATCAGATTTCTGGCAGATCAGGCTTAATTACATGAAATTAATTCAAATGAGCCTAGCTAATCATTACTAAGTTTTTACCGCTCTCGCGGCGTAGAGTACAATAATTTAGGGGACCAGGCTGATCTCTCATGCGACAGGATTCTAAATTATTGCCAAGACGAGCGAGCTTACGGCCCCTTAATCGCTACTAATCTCTTAGCGAACGATTAAGTATGTGTGAAGGTGTCCTAGAATAAACTAGATCTCTCTTAATTTATTCTACAAGCAATTGTAATTCTAGCCGCGGTTCCAGGTTACAAAAGGTATCAATTAAATTATTCAAACACAAATTAAACGGCATTCATGAAATTAACCTATCAAGAATCTATCCATACATCATGATTAACCCCTTCATCAATCCCAAATCCCTAATTAAAACTACTCACAATTCATAATTGAAGAATCAATAGAATTGGAATAAAAAGAATTAATTGTCATTAATTAAAAAGGTGGAACTTACAAAGAATCCCAAAAGATTGATGAACAAGGCTGAAAAGCTCTCTAAAATTCGTGATAGGCACTCTCTCTAAGCCCCCCCCCCCCCCCCTTGAAAACGGTGGTTTACAGGCTGTTTAAATAGAAAAATCGGGTGAAATTTGAGTTGGATTGGGATTTCCGGAGGCAGGCACGGTGTCAGGCACGATCGTGCCTTCGATCGTGCCTTCGGAGAAAAAAAGTGCATTTTGGGCAGGCACGGTCGTGCCTCCCTCCAAGCACGATCGTTCCTGCCTGGCAGTAGCTCCGCGGTTCTTTCTCTTCATGCACGATCGTGTCTGACTTTGAGGGAACGATCATGCCTACTTAACTTCCGAATTTGACAAAACTTCATTCATGAAAGTTGTAGATGATGAAGTCTTCTATCCACCACCACTTGCCGAATGGGATTGGAATCATCCAATCAAGAGATATGAATAAAATGGTGGAAGGTGTCATTCTGAAATCTCAATAGCGATCATCCGACTTCATCGTCTGTTTTCACCTTTCTCCTATCAGATTCTCGAAATGGTGTTTTCATATGATTTGTAGCCCTTGAAGTTGGCTTTCATGTGAAACTTGAATCGTGTCCTTTGAATTTGTCTACAAAATATGCTTGAATGATTGACAGAAGGTCATCCTGATCGTCGTTTTCAAGCTTTATTCGTCTTCTTTTGATCCCGTAGCCAATCCTAGAGCTCTTTTGTCATCAAATCTTCATCGTGAACCTTCCGGTGACATCCAAATCTCTCAATCCACTCTCAAATGAATCTGAATCATCCTGATTGCTCCTCAAGTGCCGGTGCCGAGCTCTAAATTCCTGACTTTGACTCCAAATGACACAAAAGTACAAAACTCGAACCAACGCCTGATAAACATAACTTGAGCTAAAATTGAGACTTGTAACACCTTAAAGCTAGGAAAACCATCAAAAGCCGGTCCCAACAAGCATCAAATGAGTGTCTAAATACGGATTTATCAGTCGCCCTGAGATCTGCACAATGGGCAGATTGAGGGGTTGAGAACCAAGTGGAACCTTAGCAAATTGTCTGTAGTGGGAACAATCCTATTTAGAATTTTCCATTGGAAAATCTTGATTTTCAGAATTTGCTTAGAGTGCCAACTGTGTTTAAAAGAAAATGTGGAGCCTTTTTCATGCCTTACCGAATGGTAAGCAGATTGTAAAGAGAAATTGCCATCCTCCTCTGCAATCTAAACCAGCTCCCCATGAGAGCCAAAATCACAATAAGCTAGAGCCTCCTGATGGATAGAGCAAATCCTTCTCCATATAGATGAGTCATACACTTTAGGGACCATATTATCTCCTCTAGGATATTTAGCACTGAGAAAATCAGCCCAAAAAGACCCACCTTTCTTCCACTTCCACCATAATTTTAAAGTAAAAGCTTTTTCCACTTCAATCAGACATCTTATTCCCAGACCACCCTCCTCAGTGGGCAAGCACAAGTCTGACCACTTAATCCAATGATGCTTAGGCCTATTTTGTGAGGAACCCCAAAAGAAATTAGACAATTTTCTTTCCAAAATCCTAATTGTTTTCTTTGGTAATCTGTCTGCAGCTAACAGGTGGTAGGCATGGACTTGGACGGGCCGGAAGGGCTTCAGAACTAAGGAATTCAGGCCCGGTAGCGGCCCATACCAGTTCGGGCACAAACAATATCGGGCCGGTTCTGTACCACCCATTTAATTAATTTTTTTTAAATAGTGCGGTTGGGCCCAACCGAGCCAGGCCCAAAAAGCCAGCCCAAAGCCCATCCCTTGTAACTACCGAACCTGGCCCCGGGACAGGCCAAGCCTAAACAATACCGGGTCGGGGTCGGGTCTGTCGGCCCGTACCGGTCCATCCCTAGGTGGGCATGGCGGAAGGAGGCTAGGGTTAACAGTGGTGGGGCACGGCGGTCGGAGGTTGGGACAGCGAGTGGGAGAGCTGCAACGAAGGGGTCACGACAGAAGGTTGGGGTAGGGACTAGGAGGCAAGGATGGCTGGGGGCGGGTGGTGGTTTCAACTACTCGGCGGTGGGGGTGGCATTGCCAACTTGCCAAGGGCAAGTCTACAATGTCGATGGACGGAAATTTTTATGTCAGTGGTTGCAACTTGCAATTAGGTGTGGAAGCAGGCCAGACCAAAGTTTCGCCTAAATAGGTCGAGCCTGTTTTAGAATGTATAGGCCTGAGCCTGACCTGTTAAAGGCCTGGTTTTTCGGCCTGAGCCTAGCCTGTTTTAAAAGCCTGACCTGGCCTGAAGCCTGTTTACTGGGCCTGTTAAAGTGTTAAGAAAAAAACAAAATTTCAAAAAAAAATAAAAATAAAGTGAAAAATCCTTTTAACCCAGTATAAAATGTATTCCCCCAAATACTCACTAAAAAGTCTAATAATACGTTAGTTTTGCTTTGGATGTCTAATACTACCTCCATCCCGAAAAGGTTCGCCATATTAACTTTTCTAGGTCAATGATGACAAACTTTGGACAATGATTTTAATTATTATATTTGTATATAATTTATAAATTTTATACTTTTATGAAAATATTTTGAACAAGGAACATTTTGATATAATTTTTATATTCGAAATAATTTCATATTAAAAAATATCATTGGTCAAAGTTGATTGTCATTGACCAAGAAAAGTCAATTTGAAGAACGTTTTCGGGACGGAGGGAGTAATACATTATTATGTAGTGAAAATAAATTTCTATGTACTTCAAATCTTGAAAAACTTTGAATTTCAATTACCTTAATAAACTATTAACACTTATTTATATTTAAAATAGTATTCTATTCTAATTTATATACAGACTCCATAAAAATACTATTATGCCGAATTTGTTATAGATAAGTATACCAACATAAATAAAAATGTAAATAATATAATAAATAAATATAACTAAATATATATACACACATATATACACATATAAATAGGTCGGCCTGTTACGCTAAAAAGGCTTCAAAGTTGGGCTAGGCCTGGCCTGTTTAAATAAACGGGCTTTTTGAAAAGCCCAAGCCTAGTTTGATTACTAAACAGGCCAGGCCAGGCTTTTAACAGGTCAGGCCACAGGCCCCTGACAGGCTGCCTGACCTATTTCCACCCCTAGTTGCAATTAAAAATTAGATCACTGGAGCAGTGGTGTAATTATCACGCGTTGGTCACAGCCTCACAGGGGCCGGCAAAGGTCACCAGTCGGTGGTGATTCGGTGGTGATCACTACTGGGAAGTGGTCACTGGGTGAGGTAAAAAGGTCATATAATTGGTGTCAAAACCTCATCAATGTTCTGCCAAAGATACATGGGATTGCAAACTTTAACAGTTCAGAAAAAGTAAACAAAATGTACAATGTTTCTACACACTTGAGAGCTAATTGGCAGAGAGATTGTAAAATACAGTTAGTCTATATTACTCAATAACATCATTCATAATATTCTCACATCTTCTGTAAACATGACTCCAGAAGAAACTAATAATTAGAACGATGGCGCTATCGATGAGAACTTCTTACCAATTATATCTCTGTTAGACCTCGATCAAAGATGGTGACTTCATTGATGCTTCATCTTGCATTAAATTCGGATCGTGCTGCAAATAAAAGCATCGAAACAAATTAGACTATCCAACTTGTTCCATACGTTAAACTAAATAAGTTCAACCAATAGAATTGATTTAGTTTTAACAAAGGGTCGATGAATATGAATAATAAACTTTAAGAGAAAAAAAAAGTGAAAACAAATAAAATCACTTCTGCACGGATCATCGACTACTTAAAAATATGCAATTTTACACAAGTAGCATGATTAAATTTCTAATCTTAGGGAAATTCTTTATCTTCTTTTGTTTTTTCAAAATGTAGCTGTATATACATATCTCACAAATTCATCTTTACATGTCATCCACCAAGACAATAATCTGAAATTCGATCGAGTATTCTGCACAACTGATGGATCATTGATTGAAACTTTTTACTTTTTAAGAGGCATTTCCATTTTTAAATTCATGGTTGAGAGATTGCACTATAGTAATTGGAGCACTATGTTCACATGTAGTCAAATTGCAAGTGAAGGACTTGGTCCTTCACGTAGCCATTCACTAAGTATGGCAATATTACATTGATCATGGGACTAATTGTGCACAATGGTCAATTAAAAGATCTAACATCTAAATGTGGCAATACTATATTTAGTCAGATTGACTTGTAGTGGAATTCCCTTCTTAAAACATAAGTATCGGACTCCTGTCCCAAGAAATGGAGTTTGTGTTAAATTAATTCAACCAAGGTACGAGCCTTTACAAGTAATGAATGACCCTAAAACTACTTCCAAGTTTGTGTAGACACTAATTGACTAAAACGGCTTGATGTTTGGCTTTACAAGATATTACTTTAAAATGAAAGTTTTTTTAAAACCTGTCTCTTATGTAGACAAAAATGTCCTTGAAACAGGAATGTTTTTTTCACGGGGGTGTGGGGAGTAGTTTCTCTGACCGAATTTGGTGCTTCAAACCACTTAGAGGACATGCCAGATTAAGGTAGTGAGTGGAGTCCATGTAGGTTATTTTGGATGCCTGTTTATGATGCATTCACAGGGCGTCAGTATCACCGTAAAAGAAAGAAAGATAAAAATCAGCAAATCACACTAACAAATCAAACTGATTTGGAAGACAAATAAAATCAAACAAACCTGGGAGACAAATAAATCAGACAAATCTGATAGACATGTCACTGTCAGGGATTTGAGATCCTTAAGAGATTTGAGATATTATTTTCTGATTGCAATCTTTGAATTATTGTTTTCTGTTTAATTGTTTTGTTTATTTTATTTTGCAAGCTCTGCAAAAGCCTATTTAAAGGCCAGTTGAATGCAGGGAAAAAGCATGCAAGTTTTTAGCAAGAAAAGTCTAAGGGAGTTTCTGGAATTCTCAACAAAAAATTCCAACTTGATAAAAGTTTGCATAATTATATTCTTCTTAGTTTTCTGCCCAAACAGTAAACATAGACAACCCTTCCAAAGCTCAGGCTACCCTCCCACTCACCCCAAAGGCCTGTGACGAGATCTTGTACACAAGCTGCCCGTAACATTGGTTCTGTTGTCGGCGTCATGGGCAATGGGTTGTTTGCATCAAAGGAAGAAGTCTCCAATCTGAAAGAATCCATAGATCGCCTTGAACAACTGATGGATAAATTACTTGTAGACGGAGGTAAAACTGCAACAACAGAGACGGCCAATCCTGATCAGGCGGTGGTACATGCACCTGACAACATGAATCACATGGCTACTGCTCATGGATCACATTTCGAGTTTCCCCTTTTCTCTGGCGCAGAAGATCCACTCAGTTGGCTTTATCACTGTGAGTTATTCTTCATGAATCAGAACGTCCCCCCTGCAAAACGAGTCTCTATGGCTGCTTACTATCTCAGTGGAGATGCTCAGTTGTGGTGGTATCACCATCTACGCCAAGACCAGCCCCATATCTCTTAGGAATCTTTTCGAAATTACTGCACTCACAAATTTGGTCCCCCTGGTGGTGCAAATCCATTAGGGGATTTGACAAATCTCAAACAACAAGGCCGTCCAATTGAGGAGTACATCACACAGTTTCATAACAGCCTAGCACGTGTTCCACCACTTCGTATGGAATATCAAGTTTCCATTTTCACAGCTGGGTTAGATGAGGTGTTGCGCATAGATGTGGAATATAAAAACCCATTGAATCTGACTATGGGATTCAGTGAGGCAAGACTATTCGCGAGAAAGTTACAGCTTTGGACTTCGGCTCATCCCAGAACTTTACGGCTGCCTCCAAAGACAGTGCACTGCCCAACAACATCCACCACTCCATTACCATCGGTAGCAGGACCCTCAATAACTAGGTCAGCCCCTCCTCCGTACATGAAGATGCTGTCCAAAGTTGAAGCTGCAGAACGGCGAGCGAAGGGACTTTGTTACAACTGTGATGAAACATATGTACCGGGACATAGATGCAAACGACTATTCTGCCTTTGGATGGATGATGACGAGGAAGAAGGGTCTGAAAGTCACATTGAGCCCACGATTTCCCTTTATGCCATGGTTGGACTTCGTCACCCCAACACGCTTCAAGTGCAAGTTCAATTGGCCGGTAGTTATGTTCTTGCAATGATTGATTCAGGGAGCACCCATAATTTCATCAATTCCCACACTGCCCTCTCACTCGGGTTGCCAACAACACCTCGCCAGGATTTCGTGTGGCAGTGGCTAATGGAAAAAAGCCACTCCGCACAGGTGTGTGCGAGCAAGTGAGACTTGGTAAGGCTGGTGCCACATTCTTGATTAATCTTTTGCCTTACCGATAACGGGGTTTGATATTACCCTTGGGTAAAATGGTTGGAGGAATTGGGAGATATCGTGTGAAACTTTAGGGAGCAAAGGGTCACATTTACCATACAAGGGCAGAACCGTTACTTGGACAAGAGATGCAGCTCCAGTTGGCACTACTTTGTACTCTATGCATCATGCAATCTCTAATGATCAAGCAATGGAGGAGCTTTTGAATTACTTTGACCACATTTTTTCTAATTCTATGGCACTGCCTCCACCACGCAATTGTGATCACCGAATTATTCTCAAAGCTGGGACAGATCCTGTTATTGTACGACCGTATCGCTACCCGCAACTGCAAAAGGATGAAATTGAGAAGCAGTGTTTGGAGATGCTGGAAAGAGGACAAATTCAGCCAAGTCGAAGCCTGTTTTCATCTCCACTACCCGTGGTTACAAAAAGTGACAACTCATGGCGCTTTTGTGTAGATTATCGGGAACTCAATGCACAGACTGTTAAGGATAAATTTCCCATTCCGGTAATTGATGAGCTCTTAGACGAACTTCACGGATCTCAATTCTTCACAAAGCTCGACTTGCGCTCAGGGTACCATCAAATACGAATGGAATGAGCCTAGAAGATGTTGAAAAAACAGCATTTCACACTCACCATGGACATTTTGAATTTCTTGTAATGCCCTTTGGCTTGTGCAACGCACCGTCCACCTTCCAAGCACTTATGAATGAGGTATTCGGGCCCCATCTTAGTAAATTTGTCTTTGTCTTTTTTATGACATATTAATCTACAGTCACACTTGGGTGGAGCATCTACAACACATTAGAATTGTGTTTGGATTACTCCAAACTCATCAATTTTTCCTAAAAAGGCAGAACTGTGTTTTCGGCGTGCTAAAGGTAGCTTATCTCGAACATGTGATTACTAGAAATGGGGGTGGCAGCAGATAATTCAAAAATTCAAGCGATCATTGATTGGCCTATACCAGTCACAACCACTGCCCTTCGCGGATTCCTGGGCCTAGTTGGTTTTTACCGACGTTTTATCAGGAATTTTGGTGCATGCAACACCTTTAACTTCACTCCTTCGTCGCAATGCATTTTCATGGTCCAGCGAAGCTCAAACATCATTTGACAAGCTCAAAAATGTCTTGTCCAGTTCACCAGTATTGCAATTACCCAATTTCTCCAAGCCATTCCTAATTGAGTGTGATGCATCAGGGGTGGGTATTGAAGCAGTTTTACAACAAGAAAACCACCCCATTGCCTTCTTCAGCAAGAAGCTCGCAGACAGCCACCTTAAGCTGCCACCATATGAGCGGGAACTGATAGGGTTAGTCCAAGTCATACGAAACTGGAGGCACTATCTTTGGGGCCGCTCTTTCGTGATTAGAATTGATCATTACAGCCTAAACTACTTACTGCAGCAACGCCTTACAACCTCACCACAATAACATTGGATGAGTAAACTCTTGGGCTTTGATTTTGAAGTCGAATACAAACCTGGAAAATTGAATCGCGTGGCAGATGCTCTATCACGGAGGGATGCAAATCCAGCAACCCGCATGGTAGTTACCATGGTACACGCCCAGTTAATGGAGGATATAAGGAAGCATTATCAGCACTCCGAGGAAGGCCAGATTGTTTTTAACAAAGCAGCAACACAAGGGAGAAATTCTAATTGGACAGTCCATGATGGTGTGGTCTATTACAAGACCAAAATATATGTGCCGACCGACTTTAATTATATCCCTACCATCCTCGCAGCAGTTCATAATGCTACTCATGAAGGGATTCAAAAGACTCTTCATCGCATAAAAAGGGAATTCTATTGGGAAGGTCTGGCATCTTTTGTACAGGACTTCATCACCAATTGTGCTATTTGCCAAAAAAAAAAATGGGAAAACTTGCACGCAACAGGTTTACTACAACCCTTACCAATCCCTGAACACATATGGGCTGATATTTCAATGGATTTTATTGACGGGCTACCCAAGGTCGGAGGTAAATATGTTATCTATATACTGGTGGATCGATTGTCCAAATACGCTAACTTTATGGCATTGTCACATCCCTACACAAGCGTCAGTGGCTCATTCCTTTTTCTCTAATATTTTTAAATTACACGGCCTGCCTGAAACAATAGTCAGCGACAGAGATGCAGTTTTCACAAACTTATTCTGGAAGGAACTTTTAAGTTATGTGGCACACACTTGGCATTTTCTTCATCTTATCACCCACAAACGGATGGTCAAACAAAAGTTGTTAATCTCACACTCGAAATGTATCTCAGATGTATGGTAGGAGATCACCCATGCAGGTGGGAAGACTGGCTGCCATGGGCTGAGTTCTGCTATAACACCTCTCTCCACTCGGCTTTGGGTACTTCTCCCTTCAAGGTCTTATATGGCCGCGAACCGCCGAGGCTTATATCCTACGAACCAGGATCATCCAGAATAGAAGCAGTAGACGCTGCTTTGAAGGACAGAGATGCAATCCTGAGCGCTGCTCAGAATCACCTCATACGTGCTCAAGACAGAATGTGTCTTGCATATGACAATAACCACCGTGACATTGTGTTCAACGAGGGACAGCGGGTTTGGCTTCGCCTACATCTATATCGTCAATTCAGTCAATTCAGTAACCAAACGAACATCAGCAAAATTGTCTCCACGGTATTTTGGACCATTCCAGATCGTCAAGAAAATTGGAAAAGTGGCATATAAGTTGGCCCTTCCGAAGGGTAGTAAAGTCCATGATGTTTTCCAAATTTCATTACTGAAGGAATTTAAGGGAACGCCACCAGCACAGTCTCCTACACTACCTAATCTTCATGACGGTAAGCTTCTGCCACAACCAAAGGAGGTCTTAAGGGGTCGTCTTAACAGGGGCAGAAAAGAGATTTTAGTTGTGTGGTCTGGCATGCATCCAAATGAGGCCACTTGGGAGGATGTCGATGAGTTCAGTCTTCAATTCCCTACCTTCAAGCTTGAGGACAAGCTCGATCTCAACGAAGGGAGTAATGATGCATTCACAGGGCGTCAGTATCACCGTAAAAGAAAGAAAGAAAGATAAAAATCAGCAAATCACACTGACAAATCAAACTGATTTGGAAGACAAATAAAATCAAACAAATCTGGGAGACAAATAAATCAGACAAATCTGATAGACATGTCACTGTCGGGGATTTGAGATCCTTAGAGATTTGAGATATTATTTTCTGATTGCAATCTTTGAATTATTGTTTTCTGTTTAATTGTTTTCTTTATTTTATTTTCCAAGCTCTGTAAAAGCCTATTTAAAGGCCAGTTGAATGCAGGGAAAAAGCATGCAAGTTTTTAGCAAGAAAAGTCTAAGGGAGCTTCTGGAATTCTCAACAAAAAAATCCAACTTGATAAAAGTTTGCATAATTATATTCTTCTTAGTTTTCTGCCCAAGCAGTAAACATAGCCAACCCTTCCAAAGCTCAGGCTACCCTCCCACTCACCCGAAGACCTGTGACGAGATCTTGCACACAAGCTGCCCGTAACAGTTTACTTGCTTACTTCTATGTATGCATGATTGTTTGCTTACTTATTTAATCGCTTACCTTCTCCACTTTCCTTGCTTGTTTCTGCACTGTGTTTGGTTTGGTTTTTGTTTATAATGATAATTGATATACAAATTTGAGAAAGGTTCTGAAGTTTGTTACTTCACTTCAAATTTGACAGATGTTTTATCAAGTCCCCTCATTTGCCTCTGCAAGAGATCATAGCCCATGCAAAATCCCCTCTTGGAAGTAATTTGGAGGTCTAACTAATACAGTGTTTGTGTGAATGAGTACCAGGACTAAGGCAGAAAGGTAGAATATGTGGTTGCGGCAGGAATACAAATGGGTGTGAAGAACAAATATCTTGAAACTTGCCACATACCTCTTCAGAATATTCTTGCTTCCTTTATTCCGACTTCTCAGGAACAGTTTGTTGCAGAAACCGCTGAATGGTCATCCAGTAGTGATCCCCACCTTCTAACCACGTATTCATATGCATTCCAGTAGGAAATTCGACAAATAAGCAGTGGTTATTATGTGCAGCTGCCTTAGCATAGAGCTTTGACATGTGTGATGGAGGGACCATTTCATCTTGTAATCCAGACAGAAAAAGGATAGGTTGTCTGATCTGCAATTAGAAGTCTCAAAGCGGTAAATTATGCATGTTTTTTTAGTTTTCTATTTTTGCTTCAAATACATGAAACCTAAATTCAAGCATTCTAGCACAAACGCAGCAAGAAGTCAGTCAAGGGAGAGTTGATAGTATATTATTATCGTTTCAATAATACTAACTTTTGCCACTTAAAAAAATTCAAAAGACTAAGCAATTCCTCATAAAATAATTTTTCCTGCAATAAGCATCCTCTTTCAAGGGTAGTAACTCAAAATCCTCACCTCACTAACAACATCAATGGTGTTCCACGGAGACCTAACAAGAAAGTTAAGAAGTTTGAGACCCTTTGAACCGCTGCCTCCAATGAACCACTTCAAGAAGGGAAGGAGAACTCCAGCCATGTCAAGGATAGAAGTGAAAGTATTCTCCAAAATAAGTGCAGAGACCTATATAATTCACATCAGTATGTTGTAAAATAGAGCAGCAGAATGTCGTCTGAACCATAACAAGATGCCTCTAGAAAATCCATTCACCAACATAAGATGAATTGATGGTGTATGCAGGAAAAAACAAACATGAAATCAGATTGAATAATGAATTTTTTGGAGGTGGCTCATATATTTCTATTACTGTATAGGAACAATAAGTACTGATTTGATTATTGAATTGATACACCTCATACATTATCAGGATTATTTTTAGTAAGTACAGCTCCAACTGCTCCGCCAAGCGACCTTCCAAAAACAAATATTTTTGATGTCTCAATATCTGTCCTCTGAATCAGATGATCCAATGCTGCCTATATGTAAAACATCAAACACACATGAGAATTCAAGCTGAATTAAATATGGTGACAATTGGTAAGACAATGTTCCAGAAGCATACAAACCTGAGCATCCTTTATGATTCCATGTTGAGAAGGGTATCCATCACTGGCCCCATAGCTGTGTCCAAGAAAAAAAAATTATTATTACAACGCAGCAAAAAGGTACTGCTAAAATAAACTACAATAGATGAAGACAGCAAATCATCATACCCACGGTACGAAAGCATAAAAACATTGCAACGCAGTTGTTGTATCATTATGTGAACCATTTCAAGACGATGGGCAATGTCTGAAGTAAAAAAGTCAAGGCTAAAGCAAGTGCTTCCGCCGGTGATTGTTATACGACACCTTTAAAAGGGGATCAATGGTCCTCTCTATAGGGCATTGGTTTTTACTCTTCTCTATGAAACGTTTTTTCACAGCTTGCCCCTGATAAATACTGGGTTCATGTTCACTGTAAAAATTATTCATTTATAAGGCACAATAAAGGAAGGTAAAATTACTAAATTAGAATATCATAATATTTTTAGTAGCTCAACATAAAATTTACTTGCGTTGAGCAATTTGGTCAATTGTGTCTTATAATAAGGACCGGGAAAAGTACAAAAAAGTAGCGAGAAGAAATTTGAAAACAACAAACATATGCGACAAGAAAAAAGGCAGCAGGAGACAAGGATACTTCCTGCGTTTTCCTGAAAAAAGAGGATGGTTGGGCTACCTGCAACACAAAAGTAAACCCCCGGCAACTTTCATGAGAAAACTCGCATAGAAAGCTGGAAAGAACTCATTCATAATCTGCAAGTGGGTGAAAGAGAAGGACTATAAGAGGGGGAAAAGGGGTTCTTGTGGATGTGCGCATAGTTGTTTCCTAAGTGCTTGACATTCATTATTACAAACACATGGGAGATCTGCAATCAGTGTTGTCAATTCCAGATAGTGGGCAGAGCGGCCTACCCCGAAAACGCTACACCAGCATAGCGGATAGCGGGATGACTGCAGCCTACCCCAAAAACGCTACACTGTTATAGCGCATAGCGGGATGACTGCTATTTGGATAACTTGTATACCGAAAACAAGATTGTATGTATATATAATAACATACAACATACATATCAAATGCATAAAATGACAAATACTAATCAAAATCCCAAACATCATGCCATACATATTAGAATCTTTCTAACTATTCCACTTCTAAACACGGCAATAGGCTCCACGCTAAACAAGTTTTGAGACTGGTGATAGATGACTAAGAAGAGTTGAAAGTAGAAAATGAACCATAGTAGTCGAAAGTAGTTGAAGAAGCAAGGTCACTAGCTGACGTTAAAGATTCTCTGTTTTGGTGTGTAGTTTTTTGAGCCTCGACGCTAGTCATCGAAGAAGCAGAATAGAGATGACTAAGAACAATACTACGTATGTTAGAATGTTGGGATGGGTTTTACGTAATTGGATGGGTTTTAGTTGGGTTACTTTTTATTCTAAAAGCCTACTTTACCCCTTTAAAAAAAATTAAAAACCAAAATTTCCTCAAAATTCTCTAATCCTAGCCTAGACAACTTAGGAGATCAATAGCGCCCGCAATAGCAGCCGCTATATACGCTACAGAGTCTCTAATAGCACCCGGGAGACGCTCTGCTCCGCTACACCGCTATAGCGCAATATTGAATTCACTGTCTACGACAATCTTAGTCTAGCCACAATAGAAGCATCACTAGAATTTATATCACAAGCAACCTAATAGTCATTGTTAGCATCAGGGGGAGGCGGTTAAGATCATAAGTGGAAGTAACTAAACTACATTTCCCATTTCGGATGCTCATTTAAATACTAGCACAGAATTAAGTAATTAAGTATATGGTTCAAAAATTGAAACTCGTCCAAAAGCGCAGAAACTCATCATAAAGCTAAAGCAAATCACTACACCGGACTCTAATTAAGTGGCATTGGCAAGAAATTAATCTCTGGTTCTGAATATAGCCAATAAATTAACCAGTATTAATATAGGCCATTAGCTCATAGCCTATGTAGCACCACTAGGGAACGCGGAAACGCAGAAACACGTAAATGGGTATGGGGATACGAGAAAAAAACACAAAAGAGACAGATACAGGGGTGTTTTTATAAATATTAAAAATTGTGAGGGTGTATTTATAAATATTAAAAAATTACAAGAACTTGTTTGAAAATATATAGATGTAATTCATACTCTTACAAATATCCCTTTTCCATTCGTGTCATTCAACAATTTCACATTACGAAGGTAGTTTAAAAATAAATTCATACTCTTTAGCTCATATAATGTCGTGCATCTTGAAATATAAATATAGTTAATTAGGATGTTTTTACTTGGATTGAAATTTACTGCTCTCTATGTATTTTATAATATGTTTGGGATGTTTGATCTCTATGTGTTTTATAACTATGAAAGTCTGGTCTGGTCTATTTAAGTCTGGTCTGGTCTGTTTAAGTTTGATCTAGGACTGAAAACAGTCCAAGTAAACTCATCCTTAATTCCAAACGAGGAACAAATCAAACAACCATTGTTTCAAAATTAAAACTGCATGTACTCAAAGTTCATAAATAGAAAACGTTCAATGAAGATAGAACATACTACCTCCGTCCCCCTTATATTGGGACGGAAGGGAGCAATGTGTTTTTTAAGAAAAAATAGAATTATGTGGTTGCTAATGAGTTGATAAAGTGGGAATAAAGCAAGAATGAATTGTAGCCACACAAATGTTACTAAATATGGTATGTGACAATAATAGAGGGGCATTCAAAAATGGAAAATGGGACAATTATAGGAGGACGGAGGAAGTAATACTTTATTTAAAACACTAAAAGTTCTAAAAAATATTTCCACTTGAGCTAGTAATTTCCAATTGTAACACATCGACTTTAAAAAAAGACAACTTCCAATCCTGGTTCATCTATGGAAAGGTTGGTGAACTCATGTACTACCATATCTTTCGTGCTCCCAAAGTCATCTTCACCAACATCTCACATTTTACTTTTGTCGTCCATATACTATTTGGAAACTCTTGCTAAAAGACCAAAGTTGTTATGAATAAATACCAAATCTTCTGCACATTTTGTATACCGAGATAGGTGTATCGGGTTTTCTAAGGTAGATTCTATGGTACCAATGAGGTACCATACCTTTGTCCACATGGACTAATCAGAATGTTGCAGTTGAATTATTTAAATCTAAATTAAAAATGATATACATATTTGGACCAATCAAGTGAATAGTAGGTACCAGGCCCGGCCCGAACAAAATGAAAGCCCTGTTCAGAAAAAAAAAAAAAGTCCCTAACATATACCGTACTACATATAATGCTCCCTACAAAACTTGTAAGGCTAATCGTTATACATTAATACTCTGTATTTTACATCCTATTCATGTCCGTATTCAAATTTTCTAAGGCCATAGTGCATTACAATTTACTACGTGTAAAATTTTCATAATCCAAAAGTAAGAATTGACAAAAACACGTATATGAATGAGGAAACGCGTCGTTAGTCACCAGCGGGCTTCTATTGGGTTGGTTGCTTGGACAATTTTTTCCCTACTGGGTCTAGTCTTAACACTATGACAATAAAAATTGGAGGCCCTCCTGAAAATGGGGCCCTGTGCAGTTGCACCACTTGCACATGGGCCGGGCCGGGCCTGGTAGGTACGGTACCCCTTTTTTAAATGGGTACCGGTGTTCTCGCCTTTTTCCAAATAATTACAAAAATGGGAACTTTTAATAAATTTCAAATAAGGCATGGGAGCATATTGTACGGGGTATGCTAGTGTATTTGGTAGGGAAACATCTCTCATACACAGATACAGTACCCTAGGCAAGTATTGGTGCCATATAGCTCATAGCCTCTTAAGCAGTTACACCTCAATGACATAGTAAAGTGTTAGAAAAATAGTAGTCCGGCTGACTGCAGCATGATCCAAGTGAAGGAGTAAATCAACATAAGATCGCATTGCCAGACTGGTATTAGGTCTATTTAACTTTCAATGTCTAGTTTCTGTTTCAATTTCCCAAATCCCATACAAACTAAAGGATATCAGATCCCCAATCATCAACTTTGAAGCAAAACTGGGCAAGGAATAAAAGTCTAAGTTTGTGCATGGGCGAACCTTTGGGGAAAAGCTTGATGAACCAGGCATGAAGACGTACGCCATCCGAAGATCTAAGCCAGACATCTTCATAGAAAAGACGAAGGCGACTGGGTGTGATTGGATAGGACTTGGTGAGGCCGGGCAACACTGGCACATACACGAGCTTCTCCTGGAACGCCACCAGTAGCGCCATTCCGGCCATCACTATCCCTCCCACTCCGTACAGCAAGGGGCTCAGGTACGACCCCATCCTAAACTTTGAATTCCCCTCCCTCGATGTGTAATTATATGTGCGCTTCTACCTCACTATCTTTAAAGTGTAAAGCAGTACCTCACTAAACGTGTAATATTCTCATATATCACCTTCCAAATATTTTTTTTTTAAATTATACTCCTCACAATTCATATTTCAAACTTTTTCATCAAATAGGTAACTTTTTATTTCACACACTGAATTATGTAATAATAAGAAATAGTAAGCTTAGAGTTACTTTTTTGGCTATATTGACTGAAGATCATTTTAGCTATTTTTACATATAATTTTTTCTTTGATTTATTAATAAAATATATTTTTTTAGAGGCTAAGAGGTCAAATAGGCGCTCAAACTAACTTAAAAAGTGCAATTCACCGCTTATATAGGAGGCTCTCTCCAATTGTCGCTGTTGGGTTAATGGCCTAAGTTGAGGTTCGACCCATTTACCCCTTCTTCCAGACGTACGTCCAGATAGACCACTGGGCTAGCCTGGCAAGCCCATTTCCTCCAGGATGGACGGACGTCTGCAGATGGGGTTCAGGCTCAACGGCCCATCTCGACGAACGTCTACGCAGAAACAAGGAGCAGGATCACAGGCCACCAGAATGACGACGAACGTCGTCAGGGCAAACCCATAGCCATCAGAGGCAGTCCAGTCCACATGGCGAGATTCCACAAGGGCCAGGGGACGAACGGCCAACAACCCCTGGAGGCCACCTGGAGCAGCTCACTCCCCAGACGGACGAACGTCCCCACTAATTAGGCGGGAAACCTAGATTCTGGCGGGAAGTGCATTTAATGCTGAAGATTTGGTGGTTGAGACACCAGCGAACCATAAGCTTCCACGTCAGTATAGCCACCTGCCCATTGGTGGGTATAAATAGAAGCATTTATTTCATTGTAAAGGGTTGGCAACTTTCTATTCCTAGCATTCTAGCTATAGCATTCTTACTCGCAGCACTTCTACTGCCTTGTAAGACGAACGGCCGACGAGCCTTAGTGAAAGTATTGTATTAGGGAGTTATTAACAGATAATAATACCTAATCACTTACTTGCTACTTTGTTGTTTCTTAATCCGTCTCACTTGCTAGTTGGGCTAGTTTACTCACACACACTCCACTTGAAATCCTTGGGCTTACGTGTTGGACCCGAGGGTTGAAGGAATAAACCTCAACACTGGCGCCGTCTGTGGGAAACTGAACTAAAAGTTTCCAGAACTCTCCCGAACAGCTACTAAATCGACCCACAGCAAACACGATGGCGAGGAACAATCGACAACGTGACCTCTCCGAGCAACTGTCCCGCGGGCGAAGCAACCGCGGGCAAACCACGGAACGCTCCGAGACGTTGGGAACTACTGGGGGTGATGGTGGCCTCACCAACCTCATCCCCCACGAGGCCAGACGCGGCCCCCGACTCATGAGGGAGCTGGCAGAAACGTTGCGCCGAATGGCGGACTAACAGGAGGCAAATGAGGAGGTGTACTCAGCTAACACAATCTGGACACCCATCTCCCCGATCCATCACATGCAGTCCCTGGATGAAACGGCGGAATCTGCTGGGCGTCGGACGCCCGTCCACACAAGGTTGGGCCAAAATCCTTCCTCCCATGAAACCAGGGGGCACACCAGTGCCAGTACCCCCCATTACGGTTGGCAGGACGATCATCGGGGGCGCACACCGGATGTACCCTCAGGACATCAGGACACGGCGGTCACCCCCGCTGCCAGCAATATCAGGCGCCGCTTCCAGAGACGAGGCGCCAATATTATCCGGAGGCAACCCGACGCGGTTGTGCCACGAAGGAACATTGCACTCGAGGCCGCCCCTCCTGTGTCCCCCGGAAGGGCCGCACAGGAGTCCCGGCTAGAGGCAATGGAACGGCGGATAGCCGAAATGGATAGACGGGTAGAGGCCACCCCAGCTACGCCTCGTTTCTCCCTCACCTCACCATTTACTCCGAGGGTCATGAACGTAGAGATCCCGCGGGACTGCAGACCGCCCGGAGGAATAATGTACAATGGGACCGGGGATCCCAAAGCCCACTTGATCAGCTTCGAGGGGAACCTCTCCATGCTGGGAGCATCCGATGAGGCAATTTGCCGGCTTTTCTTCAGCACCTTGAGGGGCCCGGCGCAGGAATGGTTCGGGCAGCTAAGACCCGGATCCATTGACAACTACGAGCAGCTGTCTCAGCAGTTCATGGCGCAGTTCGCCGCCAGCACCACCCCCAAGAAGAGCTTCACATCGCTCACCAGTGTGAAGCAGGGGAAGGACGAACCTCTGGCCAAATTTCTGGTCAGATGGAGAGACGAAGTGCTCCAGGTGGACGACCTGGACGAGCGGCTGGGAGTGAACATGTTCACCAGCGCTTTAGCAACAGGGGACCTATACCGGGACCTTCGGAGGAACCCCAGCACCAGCTACACCGAGGTACTGGCCCGGGCGCAGAAGTATGCCTCTATCGAAGAGGAGATCAGATTGAGGGATGGCGCGCCGGCTGCCCCTTCCCGGAAACTGGCGGATAGGCTCGGCCCCGGAGGCGGGCCATCCCCCCCGAACAAGAAGAAAAAGACGGACAGCAGCATGGTTCCGTGGAAGGCCCACCCTGAGGCAAGCCACGTGCGTCCAGGGGATTATCACGTCCCCTTGGCCTACCCCGTGGGCCAGATCTTTGACGCTATCAAAGACAAGGGCCTCCTGAGGGAGCCCCAAGACAAGAAGGCGCTTATGGGTCTTGATGAAACCGCATACTGCGAGTACCACCAGAGGGTCGACCACCTCACCGAAAACTGCAAACAGCTGAGGGTGGCCATCGACGAGCTGGTCCGACAAGGCTACCTGGGCGAGTTCACCCAGCTGCTGAAGAAGAATAGCCCAAGGCAGCCGAATCCGAGGTCACGAACATGGCGCCGCGACGATCGGCGCGAGGCTGAACCAAAGGACGTAGATTATCGAAGTGCTGATAAACGTCCGGAGGGGTCCCTCGGCCCGAACGGCGGAAAAAAGAAATTGGAGATCAAGGTGATCTTCGGGGGTGCTGAGACTGGGGACACGCCGGCTGAACGGAAGAAGTTTGAGAGATCCCTCTATGTGGGTTCCATATCAGCCCCCCCAACCAAAAGAAACAAGGCGGAGGCCATCATCTTCGGACCGGCCGACTTGCCAATGTCACCGGCCCCGCACAGGGATGAGTTGGTGATCAGCATGGATGTCAATAATGCGATCGTCCGCCGCGTCCTTGTTGACACTGGGAGCAGCGTGAACGTCCTCTACTGGGAGGCGTTCGAAGGGATGAAGCTGAGGAAGGATCAGCTGGCCCCCCTACGCACCCCTCTTTCTGGCTTCACAGGGGACTGCATCGACGCGGAGGGTACCATCGGCCTCCCCGTGGAGATCGGAGATGGACCTCACACCACCCGCATCCGGATGACGTTCGTCGTGGTCCGCCTGAAATGTGCTCACAACGCAATTTTGGGCCGGCCCGGCTTGGAAGATCTGGAGGCTGTATGCTCCGTACGGCACTCGTGCATCAAATTCCCCACTGACACTGGAGTGGGAGTGGCCCGCACGGACCCGCATATGGCCAGGGCCTGCTACACCAAGGCCATGGAGAGGTTCAGCGAGCGGGAGGCCCGAGTTAACAGCATCTCCGAAAAGGCCAGACAGGCCGATTTCGACACTCGCCTAGAGCCAGCCGCACTGCTCGAGGAGGTAGAACTGGATGACCCTTCGGACAGGAAGGTGTCCATAGGCGCCGACCTTGAGCCTGAGATCAAGGAGGGGGTCATAGCCGTCCTCCGGAAGTTCAAAATCCTATTTGCCAGAGGGCCGGAGGACATGCCGGGCATTGACCCGAACCTCATATGCCACAGACTTGCCGTACGGCCAGATGCCAAGCCCGTCCAACAGAAGAAGAGATACATGGCGGCCGAACGGTGAGATTTCATCAAGAAGGAGGCTACCACGCTCCTTAGCATCAGGCACATCCGGCCGGTCATCCACGTGGAGTGGTTGGCCAATGTGGTATTAGCCCCAAAAGGCGACACATGGCGGATGTGCGTCGATTACTCGGGCCTCAACAAGGCGTGCCCGATGGATCCATATCCAGTGCCGAGGATCGACCTGCTGGTGGATGAAACGGCAGGCTGCGAGTTGATGAGCTTCATGGATGCTTTCAGAGGATATCACCAGGTGTTCATGCACCCGGGTGATGCGGAGAAAACGGCGTCCGTCACGGCGGATGGCGTGTACTGTTATGTGGTCATGCCGTTCGGCCTGAGGAATGCCATGGCTACCTTCCAGAGGATGATCGGGATGTTATTCAAAGACGTACTGGGCAAAACCATGGAGGCCTACGTGGATGACATCCTGATCAAGAGCAAGAAGAAGGAAGATCACGTCCGGGATATGGAGAGGATCTTCAGCATCATGGAGAAGGCCAGCATGAGGCTCAATCCAAAAAAGTGTGCCTTTGCCGTCAAGGGTGGCAAGTTCCTCGGCTACATGATGAGCGAGCGCGGGATCGAGCCTAACCCGGAGAAGGTAAAGGCAATACTTGACATGGAGGCCCCAAGGAATCTGAAGGACGTACAGCGGCTTACTGGACGGCTGGCAGCCCTGAGCCGGTTCATGTCGAAACTGGCAGATAAGGCGATCCCCTTCTTTCAGATCATGAAGAAGGCGAATCCCTTCGAGTGGACACCGGACTGCCAGGCTGCCTTTGAGGATTTCAAGGCATACCTCTCCTCTCCGCTCGTCCTCACCAAAGCGGACCCAGGGGAGCAATTATACATGTACCTGGCAGTAGCAGACCTGGCCGTGAGTGCTGTACTACTAAAAGAGGCAAATGGCGTTCAACGACCAATCTATTTTGTAAGCAAGGCACTGAACGGCCCAGAGACCAGATACACACTGATGGAGAAGACGGTCCTCGCCTTGATAGCATCCATCAAACGCCTGGCACCATACTTCCAAGCACACCCAGTGACAGTATACACAACACAACCCCTCGCCACAATCCTCAGGAACCCTTTGGC